TGTGTAAATTAGAGAGTTTTCTTAAGTCACTGGGTGACAAAAGTTGAAGTTTAGAGTTTAAGTTAGTTTAGAAAGCGGGAGGCGAGAAGGAGGATTTAGAATGTTGTTTCTTTTCCTTCTTCTTTCTTCTTCATGTTCTTCTCCTGGAGGTTTTTGGGTGATAGCGAGTGACTGGACAGAAAATGCCGCAGTGCAGCACAGAGGTGATGGGTCATTGGGTGATTAAGGAAAATAATACACGTGTCTATTGTTAATTGGGTAAGAATTAATATAAAGGTAAAAGAATTGTGTATTTCGAGGCCATTTTGTGCTTTCAAAGCCAAAGTGAGGCACAAAGTGAGGCACAAGGGCATTCTGAACCATCAGAAGAAAATAAATCAGATTGCAGTGATTTAAACTTGTGCAGAGAGTCTGGAGAGACCTGCCAAGAAACCTGCGTGAAAAACGAGGGTCACTCTTTTTTTTATGTAGAATTTAAAAAGTTTAACCGGAAGACAATTAGAATTATTAAATAATTATAAAATAATATAATTAATAATGATAATAAAATATAATTATAGATAATTATATCATAATATATTTATAAAATAATTGTATAATAATATATTTATAAAATAATTATATAATAATATAATTATAAAATAATTATATAATAACATAAGTATAAAATAATTATAGATAGATAGATAGATAGATAGATAGATAGATCTATATATATATATAGATAGAAAATAAATATAGAAATAAAACGGCCGGGTGCCGCAGCACTCAGCCAAGAGAGCTCCCCGTGTGTCCTGGGGTGACTTTAACTTTTAACTTTAACTTTAAAATAGTTTTGAGTTTTTTTAAGGAAGTTGGAGCTGTGGGAGGTGATGGGAGTCTTTTCTCCTGACCAATTATCGGTCATTTCTAAGAACTGACAGCAGTTTTGACCATTGAGAAGTGAGATCAACTTGTGAACACCACCTTAAATGTAAAGCCAGAGTTCTCTTGTTCTGTTTTTGGTTTCTGGCTTCGGAAAAGGTAACAAAGCTCTGTCTCAGCCTTTTCCCCCCTCTCCAGGCTGGACAAGGCCACAGAGGGTGAGGGAAGAGAAATGGAGACATTTCTCGGGCCTGACTTGGTTTGTAGTTTCTGCCTCTGAACTGAACCCTGACACCATGAACACCTGCAGCTTTCCAAGACTTTAATTCTTTTACTGTCGCTCTATTGGGAACGGCGAGAAGAACGACACACACTCTCTTGGCAGTCGGTCAGGAGAATTTCTCTCAGTTTATTACCTCAGGTCTTTTTTATAGACCGATAGGTGAAAAGTACAGAAAATAAACACTTATTGGTTAGTAAACTAACACATCATCATTGGTCAGTGGGGTTCAGCACCCCTCGACCTTCTCGAAAAGAAAACAAGGAACAGACAAACAGCACCTGCAAGGCTGTTTTCTATCTCTGAGGATTGTTTTGATTCCTCCTCATGATTTCCCAGGCCAGACCGAGAAAGTTCTGTGGCCTGCTATTCCACAGGCACCGTGCTCCCTGTTTCACCATATTTTACTACCTGGATAAAACGTGCAGATTACTCCTTTTTCCCAGAGAGACAATCAGCATGAGGAAAACATCATAAACAATCTGAGGATTGTTTTAATTCCTCCTCATGATTTCCCAGGCCAGACTGAGAAAGTTCTGTGGCCTGTAATTTCACAGGCACCCTGCTCTCTGTTTCACCATATTTTGCTACCTGGATAAAACGTACAGTTCATTTTTCCCAGAGAGACAGAGAGACAATCAGCATGAAGAAAACATCATAAACAATCTGAGGATTGTTTTAATTCCTCCTCATGATTTCCCAGGCCAGACTGAGAAAGTTCTGTGGCCTGCAATTTCCACACCCACCGTGCTCCGTGTTTCACAGTTAACATTCATATTTTACTACCTGGATAAAATGTGCAGATTACTCCTTTTTCCCAAAGAGACAATCAGCATGAAGAAAACATCATAAACAATCTGAGGATTGTTTTAATTCCTCCTCATGATTTCCCAGGCCAGACTGAGAAAGTTCTGTGGCCTGCAATTTCCACACCCACCGTGCTCCCTGTTTCAGTTAACATTCTTATTTTGCTACCTGGATAAAATATACAGATTACTCCTTTTTCCCAGAGAAACAATCAACATGAAGAAAACATCATAAAACCATCAAAGACAGTAAAGAAAAGAGTTAAGTTTTAGATGGGGAAGAGAGAATAAGGAGATGCTTTATAAGCTGAAATATTTTTCTGTTAAAGCTGTGGGGATGGACAATAGTAAAAAACTCCTTTAATTAATTAATAGTAAAAACTCCTTTAATTCATGACAGAGTATATTGGGAGGAATGGAGTGTTCAAAGTGTGGATTTTGAGTAAAAAGTGGAGTAATTTTGATACAGGTGCTGGAACAGAGTGAAGAGAAGTAAATTGTTGAAGATTTGAGGCCTTGAGGGCAAAGAGAAAATTTCTGTTTCCAGGGAAGCTCACAGAAACAGATAAAGAGAATTTTTACCTTTAAATAACTCATCCTTAAAAAATGATATCCCTAAACTCATGGCCTATACACACCTCAGAGTGATGTGAAATGGGAGGAGTGAACGGATGGCAGGATGTAATAATAAATAAATTTATATTTATAATAATATAATTTAATGTAAAAATAATAATGTCATAATAAATGGGAATATAATGTCAAAATAAATGGGAGGAGTGAATGGATGTCAGGATGTAATAATAAATAAATTTATATTTATAATAATATATCATATAAAAATAAAAATGTCAAAATAAATGGGAGGAGTGGACTGATGTCAGGATGTAATAATAAATAAATTTATATTTATAATAATATATCATATAAAAATAAAAATGTCAAAATAAATGGGAGGAGTGGACTGATGTCAGGATGTAATAATAAATAAATTTATATTTATAATAATATAATATAATGTAAAAATAAAAATGTAAAAATAAATGGGAATATATAGTATTTATGTATCTATATATTTATGTATTTAGGTAATATATAAATGTAATAATAAACCTCAGAGAAATAGAAAACTATAACAGAAATATTTTTCTTGTGAAAAACTCCATAAATTAGCAGAAATTCTGTTTCTCTACAAAGACTGATGAAAAGATTCTACCAGGAATTGAGAAAGTTTTAAACACCAAAATTCCAAAGTTTTGTTGTCTCCGTGTTGTCATGTGAACAAAAGAATTGTTGGGTAGTGGGGGATAAAAAGGGTTTTCTGGAAGTTTTATTTTATATTTTATATTTCTTTTATATTTTATTTTATATTTCTTATTCTTGTAGTTTTGTTAATAAACTTTATTTATTCTAAGTTTTAAGCCTGTTTTGCTCTTGTTCTAATCCACATCTCACAGCAAGAAATAAGTGAGTTTTCCAGTAATTTTTTTAGTTACTGCTTTAAAACCACGACAATATATAATATATAATATATAATATATAATATATAATATATAATATATAATATATAATATATAATATAAAATATATAAT